CCAGGCCGGAGTGCAATGGTGCGATCTCAGCTCACTGCAACCTCCGCCTCTTGGGTTCAAATGATTATCCTGTCTCAGCCTCCTGAATATCTGGGATTACAGGCGACTACCACCACGCCCAGCTAATTTTTGTATTTTTAGTAGAGAAGGGGTTTCACCACGTTGACCAGGCTGGTCTCGAACTCTTGACCTCAGGTGATCCGCCCACCTCGGCCTCCCAAAGGGCTGGGATTACAGGCGTGAGCCATTGCGCCCGGCCCCAATTTCAAATAAGTTACAAATGCAAAAGCTTCTCAGAAAGTTGATCCTCAACAATGGAAGTGTAAATGAATTTGGCTGGCTGCTGTAATTCCCAACAAGAAACCATTCTATTCATTGAATACACCCAGTCATAAGATCACAGTGTTCTTACCGAGCTACTCGGTCATGGCCCCCTGACACAAAATAATATCCATATGGAGAAAATTGTGTGTCCCATACTGGATAGTTGTGTCCTTTATATCCCACCAAACAAGTAAATGTTTGAAGGCTCCACAATCTAACAGTTCCGTCCTCTGAAGAGGAAAGCAGATAGTTCCTGAGAGAAGAGAAGGTAATATATTTGACTCCCAGAGTAACCTTTGGTCACCTGTCCAGTTTTATATACATTTGAATACATTAAATATTTTATATACACTTGAATATTTTACATATATTTGAATATATTAAATATAGCTAACATGCTACATCTCACTTTTAATTCATTCATGCAATTCACAGTAGGTATCAACTGAAAGAACTAACCAAACTAATGTTAGCTCTGACACTCTACATACACCGAGCACCTACTGAATGAGGTAAGATGATACAGAAACGTACGGAAAATCAGTCCTTTACAAGAAAAAAGTACCGGGGTAATTACCAAAGTATAGTCAAGTAAGGTCAATTGAGAAAGTTTAGGAAATGTGATATGTCACTTAAAACTCAACAATTTTTGACCCTAAAATAAAGATGCTATTTTCCTATGCTGTGTATGCTATTTAAGAATTAAAAAGGAAATGTCTTTTGAAGAAAAAAAAAAAAACACTATAGACATGCTAATAATTCTCTACCTTTTTCAAGGATAAACACAACGGATTGGTAGTCAGAAGGTATTACAGTTTTCACTGAAATCAGACGTTTCCCTCAAGTAAAAATGTATCATCTGGCAAAACCTTATCAAACAACAAAAAACCTAATTCTCAAAGTTTCATAATGATGAAATCTTGATGAATGGAAGGTTATTATCTTTTTTTCTTTTCTTCTTTTTTTGAGATGGAGTTTAGCTCTTCTTGCCCAGGCTGGAGTGCAGTGGTGCGATCTCGGCTCGTTGCAACCTCCGCCTCCCAGGTTCAAATGATTTTCCTGCCTCAGCCTCCCAAGTAGCCAGGATTACAGGCGGGCACCATCATGCCCTGCTAATTTTTGTACTTTTAGTGGAGACGGGATTTTCCACGTTGGCCAGGCTGGTCTCGAACTCCAGATCTCAGGTGATGCGCCAGTCTTGGCCTCCCAAAGTACTGGGATTACAGGCATGAGCCACTGTCCCTGGCCTGAAAGCTTTTATCTATCCAAGTAATATACTAAGGGTATTATGAATACAAAACACCCTCCCCCCATTTTTACAGTGTTAGAGATCATGAAAAATAGGCAAATACCTATACACATAGGATGACATTGTAATCATACACCTAAAGGGAAACAAAACCAATTTCGAATTTCCTTTTTCATTTACTCTTAGTACTTTTGATTATAGAAAGATAAATCCTCAATTACTAGCTAATATGCCATTAATGTCAGGAATTTGTCTTAAATTTGATGAAGCAGCCAGAAGACACAATGCAGGGACCCAATTGAAGCATTTCAACCCCTAATGGAGTTCTATAAAACTAAAGCTTTGGTTGGTTATTTACCATTGGGTAACACATAAAAATAATTAAAAAAGAAAAAAAAGAAAAGAAGAAAATACTAAAGCTAATTTTTAAAACCAGTAAGCCCTGAAACTGTGCATTTTGATTCTATAAATTTGAGTATACAGGCTGGGCGCAGTGGCTCACGCCTGTAGTCCCAGCACTTTTGGGAGGCCAAGGTGGGCAGATCACCTGAGGTTGAGAGTTCAAGACCAGCCTGACCAACATGGAGAAAACCTGTCTCTACTAAAAATACAAAATTAGCCAGGTGTGGTGGCGCAGGTCTGTAATCCCAGCTACTTGGGAGGCTGAGCCAGGAGAACCACTTGAACCCAGGAGGCAGAGGTTGCGGTGAGCCGAGATCACTCCATTGCACTCCAACCTGGGCAACAAGAGTGAAACTCCGTCTTAAAAAAAAAAAAAAAAAAAAAAAGAGTATACATTAAATTGCTACCGTGTACAAACATCAGGATTCAAAGATGAATTAGCAAACGGCAAGATTCTAAAAGATAATGAACGACAACCATGAGATTTTTATCAGAATTTTCCCAGTATTTGCATAATGTTTCCAGTAGTTGACTTTTATATAATTTCAATATAACATAGCAGTATTTAATTTTTATTGTTTGTATTTTACCTATCCGGACTGAAGCTGGCTCCATAGACAGGCCCACTGTGACCATACAAAATCTTCAACTCACTTGCTGTTTTCTCATCCATGATTCTTTCTAAGACATCATCTGATTCTTTGTCTATAAGACTAAGATCTAAAATGGTCCAGAAATATTGATGTTTTAAAAGTACATTCATCAAAACTTTTAAAGTAATCATACCACAGTTCAGGAGAGGAATTAACATTTGAAAATTTCCTCCTATATACCAACCACACTGTGCTAATCCCTCTAAATTAGGTGGTATCATCTCAGCGTGTAAAAGAAGAAATTGACATTCAGAATAGATAATTTGCTAGAGTGCACACAGCTACTCAGTGTGGGAACCAGGACTGAAACTCGGTTTCGCTCACTATGCCACAGTGTTTCACAAAAATGAAAACTATGAGCCAGGCATGGTGGCTCACACCTGTAATCTCAGAACTCTGGGAGGCTAAGGTAGGCAGATTGCTTGAGCTCAGGAGTTCAAGACCAGCCTGGACAACATGGAGAAACCCTGTCTCTATAAAAAATAAAAAATTAGCCAGTGTGGTTGCACACACCTGTAGTCCCAGCTACTCAGGAGGCTGAAGTGGGAGGATCACTTCAGCCCAGGGATTGGAGGCTGCAGTGAGCCGTGATCACACCACTGCATTCTAGCCTGGGCAACAGAGTGAGACCCCATCTAAAAAAAAAATAAAAATAAAAATAAAAATAACCTATAGACGTATTAAAATAATTTAAAATACATTGTTTTATTTAAATAATAAACTTTATCTCAGGCCGGGTGTGGAGGCAGGAAAATCGCTTGAACCCGGGAGGCAGAGGTTGCAGTGAGCCACGTATAATTCTGGCACTTTGGGAGGCCACACAGGCGGATCACTTGAGGTCAGGAGTTCGAGACCAGCCTGGCCAACATGGTGAAACCCCATCTCTACTAAAAATACAAAAATTACCTGGGCATGGTGGTGGGCACCTGTAATCCCAATTAGTGGGGAGCTGGGGAGGCTAAGGCAGGAAAATCTCTTGAAACTGGGAGGTGGAGGCTGTAGTGAGCCGAGACTGCACCACTGCACTCTAGCCTGGGTGACAGGGTGAGACTCTGTCTCAAAAAAACAAAAACAAAAAAACTTTCAAATAAAATCCTGACCTTATTTGTTCTTTATTAGCCATTTTTATGACTAAAACAGGAAGTACCATCCCTTAAAGATTTTTCAAGATTTACAAGCAATCATAAAATGTTAGATTTTTAACTTTAAGTTTTTTAGCCTAATACTCATTCTACAGATGAGAAAACTGAGGCCTAAAGAAATTAAACCAGTCTAGCATCCCAGTCACTCCAAAGCTTTTTTCACTGTTGGGAATGTTAGAATCTTGAGTTAAAGTAAAATCAAGTGAATTTCTGTAAAGAACACAATCTTCTGTGTGTTTTTCATGGAATCAAGATTGGTGTAGACTAATGGCAAGTTCACATTCCAAAAGGTCATCTCAGTTACCTGATGCTTGTTTGACACTACGAAGCTTTTTGGGTGTTACAGACCACACTCTGACAGTTGAATCTGCAAAACCTCCAGCAATCAGACTAGAATCATCAGTGACATCCACTGCAGTGAGACCCTGCCAATAAAAGGTTTAGACTAAACAATACTATTTTAGGGTATTCAGAGTACAGAACAGGAAGCAAATGTTAATCATTTTCACACTATACTAAATATATCCTCAACATCCTATTTTAAGGAATATATAAAGACTTTTTAAATCCTTGATTTAAAATATTGGCCAAGCACAGTGACTCACACCTGTAATCCCAACAATTTGGGAGGCCGAGGCAGGTGGATCAGCTGAGATTGGGAGTTCGAGACCAGCCTGGCCAACATGGTGAAACCCCATCTCTACTAAAAATACCAAAATTAGCTGGGCAGGATGGTGGGCACCTGTAATTCCATCTACTTGTGAGGCTGATGCAAGAAAATCACTTGAACCCAGGAGGCAGAGGTTGCAGTGAGCCGAGATCGTGCCATTACACTCCAGCCTCTGTCTCAAAAAATAAATAAATAAAAAAAATAAAATATTAAGTTTGGCCAGGCGTGGTGGCTCATGCCTGTAATCACAGCACTTTGAGAGGCTGAGGCGAGTGGATCGCCTGAGCTCAGGAATTTGAGGCCAGCCTGGCCAACCTGGTGAAACCCCGTCTCTACTGAAAATACAAAAATTAGCCAGGCATGGTGGCTCATGCCTATAATCCCAGCTACTTGGAAGGCTGAGGCAGGAGAATCACTTGAACTGGGAGGCGGAGGTTGCAGTGAGCCGAGATCGCACCACCACACTCCAGCCTGGGTGTCAGAGCGAGACTCTATTTCAAAAAAATAAAATTAAATTAAAATAATAAAATAAAGTTTATATGACTGGGCACAGTGGCTCACACCTGTAATCCTAGCACTTTGGGAGGCCGACGCGGCCAGATCACTTGAAGTCAGGAGTTCAAAACCAGCCTGGGCAACATGGCAAAACCCTGTCTCTACTAAAAATACAAAAATTAGCCGGGCATGGTGGCAGGTGCCTGTAATCCCAGCTATTCAGGAGGCTGCAGCTAAGGCACAAGAATTGTTTGAACCTGGGAGGCAGAGGATGCAGTGAGCCGAGATCTCACCTCTGCACTCCACTCGGGCGACAGCACAAGACTCTTGTCTTTAAAAAAAAAAAAAAAAATTGATAAATAAGTTTACATAAGTACTTAAACCAAGTTCAACAGAGATGAACCACAATTTGCTACTCCTCAAAGGCTAGCAGAATTCTGATCAGTGAAACAAATGCCATTAAACATTGCCTTCTATTCTGTGCAGTATCCAATTCTCTTTTCCTGACTGCTGTCTTTAAATTATATTAAGAGTTTAAAGGCTGGGCATGGTGGCTCACGCCTGTAATCCCAGCACTTTGGGAGGCCGAGGCGGGCAGATCACAAGGTCAGAGATCGAGACCATCCTGGCTAACACAGTGAAACCCCATCTCTACTAAAAATACAAAAAATTAGCCGGGTGTAGTGGCGTGTGCCTGTAGTCCCAGCTGCTGGGGAGGTTGAGGCGGAAGAATAGCATGAACCCAGGAGGCGGAACTTGCAGTGAGCCAAGATTGCGCCACTGCACTCCAGCCTGGGCGACAGAGCGAGACTCCATCTCAAAAAAAAAAAAAAAAAAAAACAACAGAGTTTAAATAACAAAACTCCATTTTAGCTAACACATTTGTTTCTCTCTTAATGGTAAATCATCATTCTACATGACTCTCCAGGCAGAAACCACCCAATTAGTTTACCAACCTGGTAAGCATTGAGAAATGTATAGAAACAAATGGAGGGTAAGCAGTCTGGCCCAAGGCGCACTCGTTTGGTGGTTTCTTTCATATTCATTATCTTATCCAACTTATCTGAATCTTTCAACTCAGGAAGAGGGATTCTGTGAAAGAAAAAGAGAGTCAAAATTACCTTTTGACTATTAACAAACTTGAACTCTCTATAACATATTGTCTCATACCTCCACACACAAGTTCCTGAAGCTTTTTCCTCACCTGTTCTGAGGTGGAGCATTGGGATCTTGTTTTTTGCTTTTGGATCCAATACTATCTTTTTTAGGCTTCTTCTTTTTAGGTTTTCCTTCTTCATTTTCTCCCTCTTCATCCTCATCATCCAAAGGTACCTCAATTTCTGGTTCTTTTAATAAACCAAAAAATACCTACAAGTCAAAAGAGTCAACATTTTTTAAATTATTTGTTCATTAATATACCCATTTTACATCGATAGGATAAATTACAATTACAAAATAGTAATTTACACTCTGAAGCAGGGTTCTGTACTTGTCTACCCAATAGCCATTCTCCCCTTTTTCCTTACTAACAGAACCCTGATTTTATTGGAGTAGCAATGTGCTCAGTTAAATCATTTCTGTTTCCAGGCTCCCTTGCAGCTAGGAATGTCCATATAAGTATATTGGGTACGGTTGTATAAAAAAAAATTGTTTTCCTGATTAAAAAGGGAAAGCTTCAGCACAGATATGCCTTTTGTCCTCCCCCTTCTTCCTTCTTGAAATGGAGCTGCAATGCTGAAACTGCAATAGCCATTTGTGAGCACAAAGAAAGCCACATTCTAAAGATGGTGGACCAGAAACTAGAAGGAGCCAGGGACCTTTATGGCACTGTGGAGCCTTCATGCCAGCCCTGGAAGGCCTTCCTCTGAAATTCATTTTATGGGAGAAAAATTATTTGTTTCAGCCACTGCATTCAGGGTTCTATAAAATGCAACCATACCCAAATTGTCACATATAAACATCACCCTTAGAACACAAAATTTTATATACAGTATAAAATTGTTGCCAAGCGGCCAGGCACAGTAGCTCACGCCTGTTATCCCAGCACTTTGGGAGGCGGAGGCGGGTGGATCATCTGAGGTCAGGAGTTCGAGACCAGCCTGGCCAACATGGTGAAACCCTCTCTACTAAAGTAAATACAAAAATTAGCCGGGTGTGGTGGCGTGTGCCTCTAATCCCAGCTACTCGGGAAGCTGAGGCAGAAGAATCACTTGAACCTGGGAGGTGGAGGTTGCAGTGAGCTGAGATCACGCCATTGCACTCCAGCCTGGGTGACAAGAGCAAAACTGTCTCAAAACAAAAACAAAAACAAACAAACAAAAACATCGTTCCCAAGCTAGCTGTAAGAAAAATGTGTAACTTATGTAGATGGAAATGCTACAATTTTTCATAATCTGCATTATAGAGTTCTTAGGTTCATTCCCATACCTTTGATTTGTTTGCCTCTCGTTTAGCCTCTCCTGCCAAACTTCCCACCATCGCATCTATCTGTTGCTTACTACGCGGCATCCCATCAAAGATGTCAATGTAGAGGTGCTCCTGAACTATGTTCCATATCTGATTGTTCTGTTTCTCCTGAAGATGCCTCTTCAAGAGTTGGTACGAGTCACGGGAAATACGCAGAACAAATTTACTTGTTCGAAAATCCAACATGGTCTCATTCCCTTTCATGTGTTCCTTTTTGGTAAGACTAGATAATACACGTAGGTCATCCTGGTAATAACATTCCTGATCTCCATGGAACCTGTTTCAGTGATTTTAAAAAGTCATTTTTCAATGTAATCATTAAGGGATCTGCCTCTCCCCCATATATTTATAAACCATCCCAGAATATTTTCAGTGTAGTAGTCTAAAAAATCCTGAACTAAACTGTAGGATAAGAAGTAACTCATTTCAAAATGATTATAATTCAGTTTCTGAATTTATTCTAAAAATGAACAAATGTAAATCTCTAATGAAATGTATCACAAACATTTTAAGAAAAGAATTTAAATATCCTAAGTGAAAAATAATATACCCACCATTGGTAGACAGTTTCTTTAGAATGGAGACATTTAAAAGAAACTGGTAGACATTTGAAAATATAAGAACCCTTGCTTTACTAAATGTTATGGTTTCTCAAAACCCACTTTTAAAAGTTTTATTATGAAAATTTCAAAGGTATACAATAGAAAAGAATATAATGAACTCAGTGTACACATTACTCAGCCTCTCAACAATAATCAATACATAACATTCTCATAAAACCCATCATTTTTAATGATTTCCTATATTCATTGGAAATACGTACCAGACATATTTTTAAAATATCAATACTTTAATATGATCACTAAACAACAAACTAAGTGGAAGTACTCACTGCTGATACCAATCAGTGAGTACTTCCACTTACTCACTATTACCAAAGACAATAAAATAAAGCCTTTAGCCTTGATAACAACTAGTAAATTTGAATGTACTTGTGTTTTTACAACTCTTAATTTTCCTAAGAGAGTAAAATTAAAGACAATATATTTGGCATTCACTAAAAACAGCAACCAATGCAAAAACATTTTTAAAACAATAACTAAACATATTAGGGCTCCAGCTCTGAAAAACAGATAGCCAACAGATTTCTAAACTGTTAAGTATGTTACCCCACTACAACTCATCAATATATGATCGAAGATTTGAATAAAATTAGAAATCTCAGCCTCTTATATCAGTAACTGCCCATTATCCTCCTGTGGTGATGGGGGTCCTGGCAAGGGATAAGACTGTCCATAAAGGAAAGACAGAGAATCTCCTATGATATTCCAGCTTCCTATGTGGGGAGACAGCTACACCATGAGACTGGAAGAGCAAAAAGGTTTTTCCTTCTTTTTTAGAGACAGGTTCTTGCTCTGAAGCCCAACCTGGAGTGCAGTGGTTCAATGCAGCCTCAAACTCCTGGGCTCAGGGATTCCCCTTGCCTCCGTCTCCCCAGTAGCTAGGACTCCTGTGCCACCATACTTGGCTAATTTTTGTTTACGTGATCTCGGCTCACTGCAACCTCCGCCTCCGGGGTTCAAGTAATTCTCATGCTTCAGCCTCCTGAGCAGCTGGGACTATAGGCACGCGCCACTATGGCCAGCTAATTTTTTGTATTTTACTAGAGATGGGGTTTCACCATGTTGGCCAGGATGGTCTCGAACTCCTGAGCTCAGGCAATCTGCCCACCTCAGCTTCCCAAAGTGAGGGATTACAGGCATCAGCCACCGTACCCGGCTCAATTTTTGTTTACTTTTTGTAGAAGCAGGATCTCGCTCTTTTGCCCAGGCTGTTTTTTTTTTTTTTAATTTTTTAATTTTTTATTTTTTTGGTGAGACGGAGATTTACTCTTGTTGCCCAGGCTGGAGTGCAATGGCGCAATCTTGACTCACTGCATCCTCCACCTCCCGAGTTCAAGTGATTCTCCTGCCTCAGCCTCCCAAGTAGCTGGGATTACAGGCATGTGTCACCACGCCCGGCTAATTTTGTCTTTTCAATAGAGACAGGGTTCACCGTATTGCCCAGGCTGATCTTGAACTCCTGACCTCAGGTGATCCGCCCGCCTCAGCCTCCCAAAGTGCTAGGATTACAGGCGTGAGCCACTGCGCCCGGCCTGTTTTTGTTTAAGTGACAATGTCTATGTTGCCAAGAATGGAGTGTTTCGATGACAGTACTTTAAAGAGAAATTAGCTTCTAGAGTAGAAGTTCTGTCGTCAGCCTTTCTTAGTTTTTTTTTTTTTTTTTCCAAAAACACTTGGCTACAGAACGTTTTGCTTTATATACTTCCTATTGGCATCCTAGTATAATGAATTACTATAATGGCATAGAAGCCAGGGGTTCCAAGTTCTACTGTTCCTCTATTACTACTACCCTGTGTTAAATGATAAATCTTGACTTCAGACTCTATTGCTTGTATTAAACATTTCTCATTCAGGCTGGGCCCGGTGACTCACACCTGTAATCCCAGCACTTTGGAAGGCCAAGGTGGGCAGATCACCTGAGGTCGGGAGATCAAAACCAGTCTGACCAACATGAAGAAACCCCGTCTCTACTAAAAATACAAAATTAGCTAGGCATGGTGATGTATTCCTATAATCCCAGCTACTTGGGAGGCTGAGGCAGGAGAATCGCTTGAACCTGGGAGGCGGAGGTTGCAGTGAGCCGAGATGGTGCCACTGCACGCCAGCCTGGGCGACAAGAGCGAAACTCCGTCTCAAAAAAAAAAAAAAAAAATTTTATTCACCCTGCTAAGCAAGGCCTCCTTTTTTTTTTTGAGATGGACTTTCGCTCGTCGCCAAGGCTGGAGTGCAGTGGCACAATCTCAGCTCACTGCAACCTCCGCCTCCCAGGTTCAAGTGATTCTCTTGCCTCAGCCTCCTGAGCAGCTGGGATTACAGATGTCTGCCACCACACCCGGCTCATTTTTGTATTTTTTAGTAGAGATGGGGTTTTGTTATGTTGGCCAGGCTGGTCTCGAACTCCTGACCTCAGGTGATCTGCCCACCTCAGCCTTCCAAAGTGCTGGGATTACAGGTGTAAGCCACCACGCCCGGCCTGCCTCCTTCTTAAATACTACTTTCCCTTGGCTTCTATAACTCAACTCTCCCCTGGTTTTCTTCCTGTATATCTCCTCTACGTGGCCATTAAATCTGGAGCTCCTTGGGCCTAGCCCACTTACTGGCTTATTTCATACTCTCCCCTAGTCAACCTCATCCATATTCATCAATAATGCATACAACTCCGATTAACAGTTATAATCCCTACCTCTCCTCTGAGCTCTCATATATCATCTACCTATCAACTTGACATTTCTTAAATGAGTCAAAGGCATATTCAAATCAGAACTCAAAATTATTCCAAGGTCTGACAAATCAAGTCCTCTTCTAGGGTTTTCTGTATCAGGAATTGGCTCCCCTATCCAGCTGGAGGGGCCAGAAAACTGGAGATTTCAATGATACCTCCATCTCCCTCACCTCCCTAGCCAATCTATCAAGTGTCTCATTCATGACTCTGTCTACTTCTCTTCACCTCTACCACAACCTAGTCCAGTGTTTCCGAACAAGGGTGCTACTAGCATTTTGGGCAGGATAATTCTTTGTAAAGTGGGACTACCTAGGTGCACATATTAGAACATTTAGCATTCCTGCTCCTCTGCCCAGTCATTATGACAATCAAAAATGCCTCCACACATTTTCTTTTTTTTTTTTTTGAGACAGGGTCTCACTCTTGTCATCTAGGCTAGAGTGCAGAGGCGCAATCTCAGCTCACTGCAACCTCCATCTCCCAGGTTCAAGCAATTCTCCAGCCTCAGTCTCCCAAATAGCTGGGATTACAGGAGTGAGCTACCACATCTGGCAAATTTTTGCATTTTTTTGTAGAGACTGGGTTTCACCAGGCTGGTCTAGAACTCCTGAGCTCAAAGTGATCCGCCCGCCTCAGCCTCCCAAAGTGCTGGGATTAAAGGCGTGAGCCGCTGCACTGGGCCACCTCTACACATTTTCAAATGGTCTAGTGGAAGGAGCAATTCCACCCCCAGTTGAGAACCACTGCAATAACTTCCAAAACTTGTCCCTATAGTCATTCTATACCCCATGTGTTTCCCCACTGCATAGAAGTCCTTTCAAAGTATATAATAATGACATGGTCCTTTAATGACTCTGTAGCAGAAATGACTCTGTAGCAAAAAGGCTTCACTCTCCCCAAATACCCATTTTTCCTGTCTTCCTCCAAAAAAGAAAACCTGAATATCAGCTGGGCACATAGACACTTAGGTAAAGACCACATTTCTTATTTCCCCTGCAGCTAGGTGTGGCCACTGACTGTTAAGATATAAAAGGAAGAAGTGTGTGCAGTTTCCGTGTGCCCTAACTGCTGACTGGCACACTGATGTGACTGCTTAGAGCAGGAAAACCATCTTATGCCACAAAGTGGAACATGCATGAAAAGCATGGGAGAGCAACAAGACTGAGGGAGCTTGGGGCCCTGGTAATGAAGAACCCACCACACCAATCCCGAATGTCCCACCTTTATGAGAAAAATAAATAAACTTTTACTGTATTTAAACCTCTGTTGTTTGGGTTCTCAGCTACTCTTATTCTAATCTAATCCTAACACTGCTTCCTAGTGTTCTTAAGATAAAGGCAAAAATAAACTTTTATTTATGCCATTGCTGATGAGTTTTCAGTGACTCTCAATGAAACCTAATCCTACCCAATACAACTCCCTACTGCTCTTAGGATAAACAAAAATCTTCAATATGGCCCAAGAACCAGCCTATTCTTTTTTTTCAATGCCTTCACTTTAACAATAGAACCTGCCTACTGTTCCAGTCCCTAATTCCCAGCTTCATGGTATACCACACCCCCATCCCATTCTCTGCTCCAGCTACCCTGGCCATCTTTCAGCCTCTGTACCTACCAGAATCCTTCCCATCAGAGAGCTTTAATACATACTTTTCCCTCTTTTCTTCATCTGGCTAACTCCTACCTAATCTTCAGATATCAGATCTCACCTCAAGTATCATCTCCTCTGGAAGCCTCCTCTGACTTCTCCAGCTAGATTAAACCCCACATTTTAAGTTCTCATAGCCTTAGGTACCTCTCCTTCACAACGTACATTTTAAGTTGCAGTCTTACATTTGTGTAGTTACAGATGTGAACATATATGCACGCGCACACACACTATGTGTGTATATATATATGTAAAAATGTACATACTTCTCAAAGAATGACTTTGCTTCATTCTCATGTTGATTGTAGACTAGCTCCAAGTACATGTGCACAAACAGAGGATAAAAGAGTTGGGATAACTCTGCCCGATGGCAGTCCAGGGAACATTCAATGAAGTGTTTCAGTCCACTATAGTATTCTTCATACATTGTGGGATCTCCTTGTTGGCTGTAGGCCGACAACACAGCACTGACATCTGGCTGGTCTTCCACAGCAACACTTCCAACTGTTTAAAAAACAAAAAACAACTTTTAAGAAAATGACCTATTATGACCATGTGACTATGGCTGTTTTGTTAAGGCCCAGAGGTGAGTTGTTGCTCAGATTGTTGTCTCTTTCTTCCCAACGTCTCTTCCTCAACACAATCACATAATCTTTTTTTTTTTTTTTTTTTTTTTGAGAGGGAGTCTCGCTCTGTCACCAGGATGGAGTGCAGTATGGAGATCTCAGCTCACTGCAACCTCCGCCTCACAGGTGAGTCTCTTGCCTCAGCCTCCCAAGTAGCTGGAACTACAGGCATGCGCCATGCCCAGCTAATTTTTGCATTTTTAGTAGAGACAGGGTTTCACCATATTTGCCAGGATGGTCTCGATCTCTTGACCTTGTGATCCTCCCACCTCGGCCTCCCCAAGTGCTGGAATTACAGGCATGAGGCACCGCACCTGGCCCACACAGTCTTTTTTTTTTTTCTTTCTTTTTGAGATGGAGTTTCAACTCTTGTCGTCCAGGCTGTAGTGCAATGGCACGATCTTGGCTCACTGCAACCTCCGCATCTCGGGTTCAAGCAATTCTCCTGCCTCAGCCTCCTGAGTAATCCTACCCAATACAACTCCCTACTGCTCTTAGGGTAAACAAAGATCTTCAACATGGCCCAAGAACCAGCCTATTCTTTTTTTTCAATGCCTTCACTTTAACAATAGAACCTGCCTACTGTTCCAGTCCCTAACTAATTCCCAGGGCATGGTGGTGCATGCCTGGGATTACGGGCATGCACCACTATGCCCCCTAATTTTTGTATTTTTAGTAGAGGGGGGGTTTCACCATGTTGGCCAGGCTGGTCTTGAACTCCTGACCAGAGGTGATCCACTCGCCTCCCAAAGTGCTGGGATTACAAGTATGAGCCGCCGGGCACAGTGGCTCATGCCTGTAATCCCAGCATTTTGGGAGGCCAAGGCAGGCAGATCACGAGGTCAGGAGATCGAGGCCATCCTGGCTAACATGGTGAAACCCCGTCTCTACTAAAAATACAAAAAATTAGCCGGGCATGGTAGTGGGTGCCTGTAGTCCCAGCTACTCGGGAGGCTGAGGCAGACGAGTGGCGTGAATCCGGGAGGCGGAGGTTGCAGTGAGCCAAGATCGCGCCACTGCACGTCAGCCTGGGCAACAGAGCGAGACTCCATCTCAAAAAAAAAAAAAACCAAGTATGAGCCACCGCGCCCAGCCATAATCTTTTAATGGAATTTTTTTCACTTGTTTCAGTCACCCAAACCGAAACCTGTCAGCACATCCATATCTTAAGATAACAATAACAGGCCATCACGGTGGCCCAGCATTTTGTGAGACTGAGGCAGGCGGATCACAAGCTCAGAAGTTCAAGACCAGCCTGGCCAACATGGTGAAACCCTATCTCTACTAAAAATACAAAAATTAGCTGGGTGTGATGGCGCGTGCCTGTAATCCCAGCTACTCGGGAGGCTAAGGCACGAGAATCACTTGAACCCAGGAGGCAGAGGTTGCAGTGAGCCAAGATCGCACCACTGCACTCCAGCCTGGTGACAGAGCAAGACTCCGTCTCAAAAACAAAAAAAACAATAACAAGAAGAGTCAATATTCCTCCTGGAACTACCTTATGTTAAAGACAAATTGTATAAAAGATGGTATGTGCAAATCAAACAACTACATTAACTTTCTCTCAACGCTCTGTTCAAATGGCACCCATTACCACCAAGCCATGCACTGCAGTAATATTTCCAGTTCTCTGAGCCACCCAAGCACTGTGTAACATTCCTGTAACATATCCTATCCCGTGTTCCCTTCACATTATATACATCTCTTACCCCTTATAAAATGTAACCACTTAAGGGTGGGAAGGACCATGCCCTATTTATATCTTCAAAAGATAGTTATATGCTTAAAACAATTTCCATAACCAGCATTTCAAAACAGAAAACGTAACTATTTATTTGTAACACAGCACCACCTAACAATACATCTGTCAATTAAATCAGAATTTGGTTGTTGGAAATATTTGTAAGTTGCCATTATAGTACACTTCGCTCTTTACTGCACAAATGTGATAATTTCTTTGGTTACTCTGATGGCCTCTTTTCCTCCTTACTGATTTCTCAGTTATGATCTATAATTAGGTCAAGTTTCTGAAGAGATAGGAGATTACAGCAAAATAACCAACAATATAATTCATCTTATAGTTCATTCACAAAATTCAACATTAAAAAAGATTCCTCTCAAACACTTTTTTTTTTTTTTTTTGTAAAGACGGAATTTTGCTCTGTTGCCCAGGCCGGAGCACAATGGCGCTATCTTGGCTCACTGCAACTTCTGCGGTTCGCCTGCCTCAGCCTCCCGAGCAGCTGGGACAACGGCACATGCCACCACGCCCAGCTAATTTTTTGTATTTTTAGTAGAGACGGGGTTTCACCATGTTGGCCAGGCTGGTCTTGAACTCCTGACCTCAACTGATCCACCTGCCTCGTCCTCCCAAAGTGCTGGGACTACAGGCGTGAGCCACTGCGACCGGCCTTCAATCCACATCTGCACACATTTCTATTTATGGATTACAATGAGATATGAATACAATGCTATGTATTCGTACTTCATTTCTGGCAATGCTGCAAAGATTAGGCCTCATACAGATTAATTTGGCTAAAAGCTCTGCACTGGATAATTCAATAAACATTTATTGTCAGCTCAGGATCACCTCTGAGACCTTATATTGTATATGAGTTTTACTGCATGGATTTGTGACAACAGTTGCTGTGAGAAAGCAGTGGCTCAGGTGTCAGGAACACATACAGAGGCATAAACTTATCCATACCAAACATTTTACATATACATATTACAAGTGCCTCACGTGGCCGGGCGCGCTGGCTCACGCCTGTAATCCCAACACTTTGGGAGGCCAAGGCAGGTGGATCACTAGGTCAGGAGATCAAGACCATGCAGGTTAACATAGTGAAACCCCGTCTCTACCAAAAAGACAAAAAAAAATTAGCCAGGTGTGGTGACATGTGCCTGTGGTCCCAGCTACTTGGGAGGCTGAGGCAGGAGAATCGCTTGAACCTGGGAGGCAGAGGTTGCAGTGAGCCGAGATTACACCACTGTAGTCCAGCCTGAGAGACAGAGCAAGACTCCGTCACAGAAAAAAAAAAAAAAAAGAAAAAAAAAACTTTTTAGCTGAGATTCACGGGGTACACGACGTGCAGGATTGTTACAAGGGTATATTGTATGGTGGCTGGGCACGGTGGCTCACGCCTGTAATCCCAGCACTTTGGGAGGCCGAGGCTGGTGGATCATATGAGGTCGGGAGTTCGAGACCAGCCAGACCAACATGGTGAAAGCCTGGCTGTACTAAAAATACAAAAATTAGCTGGCCGTAGTAGTAGAAGCCTGTAGTCCCAGCTACTCACGAGGCTGAGGCAGGAGGATCGCCTGAACCCAGGAGGCGGAGGTTGCAGTGAGCCGAGGTCGCACCACTGCACTCCAGCCTGGGCAACAGAGCAAGGCTCCGTCTCAAA